AATGCAAACTCACTTGTAGTTAGGGAAATGCATATTAGAACAGTGAAATACCATCTTTCATCCATCAGACTGGTAAAGCTTGAAACACTGAGAACAGGCAATATTTGTGAGACTGGGGAAGAGCCACCCTCATAATCAGCAGATAGAACTGGGAATTATTACAACCTTTTGGGAAAGTAATCAGGCCCTATGGATTAAAATTGATCGGAGAACACCTCTATTGCATCACATAATTACCATCTCTTTTGTGCCGAGAATATTTAAGATCTGCTCTCTTAGTAGCTTTCAAGTACATAACACAGTATTGTTAGCTATAATCACAAAGCTGTACATTAGATCCCTAGAACTTATTCCTCTTCTATTGGAAGTTTGTACTCTTTGACCAACATCTCTCCATTTCCCCCACCCCCCACTGCCTGGTAACCATTATTTTACTCCTTGTTTCTGTGAGTTAGGCCTTCTTAGATTCCACATATAAGTGATATCATACAGTATGTGTCTTTCTCTCTCTGACTTATTTCACTTAGCATAATACCCTCCACGTCCATCCACGTTGTTGTGAATCACAGGATTTCCTTCTCTGTCATGGCTGAAAAATATTGTAATGTACAAGTGGATCAAATCAATCACGTTGTACACCTTAAATTTACACAGTGTTATATGTCAATTATATCTCAATAAAGCTAGAAAAAATTTGATCTGGTAATCCCATTTTTGTAAGCATATCCTATAAAAAAGAAGGTACCAGGTTTGTTTCTTCTTGGTGTCAGTTTCTCTTTCTTTACAGGTTATAGCTCCCTGCATGAGCTAGATCCATCATGTGTCTCTGGCCTTATCTCTAGGAGGTGCCATACCCATCTTTGCCTTAAATAATTAAGCATTTGATGTGGACTGTGACAGAGGCAGCTAACTATCTCCAGTAGCTATTTTCCCTTTCTTTCTCTTAGTAATAGATCCTACAGAGCCTATGACTACCTAGGTAGAGATCATATAACCTAGCCCCCCTTACAGCTATGTGTGGCCATATGAATAAGTTCTGGCCAATAGGAGATGAATGGAAGGGATGTCTGCAAACTTCACAGGTAGAATTTGTTCATCTGGAAACTTTGACCTTTGAGAGATACCAATGAATATCTGCTGGTCTCTTGAACTGAGAAGAGAAAGAACTGGGAGCCACAGGATGACTATTCTCTGCCTTGGGAGCAGAGAAACGAGAGGTGGTTTGCCAAGAAAGGAGAATGGAGCAGAGGCAAAACAAGAGGCAGGGTAGGGATACTCTGAGGTCTGAGCAGCTGTTCCAGTCCTGGCGCTCATTCCTCCTGAGTGAGGTCACACTACTCCTGTGCTTGGGTCCTTTCAATAGATTCCTCATTTTCCTTCAGCTAATTTGAATGATTTTTCTGTTTGCAAGAGAAGGGGACTTCATAAAGATAGAGCCTTCCAGAATAACTCTTTCTTTTGTACATGATAGCCAATAAGGTGTGGGAGGAATATTTGTTGAGATATTGTATTTTGCTTTTGCTGTTGTGAAGAAGAGAGAGAGGGAGAAGGAGAGGGAGAGAAAGATCTAGCCCAGTCTCATTCAGCTGACATTCCACAATCACATTTTTCAATATCCTACTTTCTATTTATTTTGTAGTATTTCTTTTCCTGGCCTATTTTAGCCCCAATTAAGTCAGACCCTAACTAACCCCCTCTATGTCAAAGACAAAGAGTCATGGAGTTCTTCCCTTCCATTTGTTTTTGTCTTCTCAAAGTATCAGCTTCTGGTGCCAGAGGCAATCAGGAAATGAGGGAAGTTTCCTTTTCTGGGCAACAGATAATTAAAAATAATGATGTATTGAGTGCTGGCTGTGCACCAGGAAAACGGGCTCTGCATCTTACATGGTTTCTTTAATCTTTACAATAACCCTGTGAGTGGGGATTATTATTGCATATTTATAGAGCCCTATAGGGTTGTTTTGAGGATTAAATGAAATCATGTTTGAAAAGTGCTTCGAACATCTGGATTCAACAGATGTTAGCTCTCATTATTACTATTAGTTTTCGGTGAGGAAATTGAGGCTCAGTTTGGTTAAGATACTCACCTAAAGTCATCCAGCTATAAGATTGAAGAAGGATCCCAGGTCTTGCTGTCCTTAAAATGAAAGTGAGGAATCCACTATGTTTCACAACATCTTTTTTTTTTAATATACACATTTTCTTTTTTTTGTTTGTTTTTTTCTTCTTCTCCCCAAAGCCCCCCAGTACATAGCTGTGCATTCTGGCTGTGGGTCCTTCTTGTTGTGGCATGTGGGACGCTGCCTCAGCATGACCTGATGAGTGGTGCCATGTCCGCGCCCAGAATCCGAACAGGTGAAACCCTGGGCCGTCTGAGCAGAACTTAACTACTTGGCCATGGGGTGGGCCCCCTAACAATATCTTAATTGAAATGACAAAACATTAATCAATTTGAACAATGACAAAATTTTCAACTCTATTTTAACCTGATAGTCCAGCAAATGTTCACCATAATTTTGGACTATTTCCCCCGCTTGCTGATATGCTCCTTGTACAGATGCCAACTTCAGTCCCCATCAACTCCCAGAGCACAGCCTCATAAGACTTGACTGCTTTTCCAGACCCATCTCCCACTTTTTCTCATACCATTAGCGAGTACTATGGTGTGCCCTGCCCTTACCCTTGGCCTCCTGGCATTGTTCTGGGGATGGGCACAGATCCAAGCCTGGCCAACCAGCACTTTTTTCCCCCATGATTTTTCAAACTTAAATTGAGCATTAGTCCCTTTCTAGTGATGAAAATAGTAAGATGTAAAACTTGAGGGTGCCGTATTTCCGGATATATGAAGAAAGCTACTAGCTTTGTCTTGAGAGAAACTGAAGCCAGTGCAGCAAGGGAAGCAAAGAGGCAAGAGAGTTCTGGTGGTGCTGAAGTTCCTGTTCCAGAAGTTCCTGAAGCCTTGGTTCATTTTCCCTCTTCCACCTTAGTTTGACTGTTCAACTCTTTTTTGGATTCCTTCAGCTAATTCTTCTCCTTCACTGTTGCTCAAGCAAGTTCAGGTTGGGTTTCTGTCACTTGCAACCAAGATTCCTGGACAACGTAAGTACCACATAGCCACAACTAAACTAGACTGCCTGCTGATCCTGAGCACACTTTTGCTTATTCTAGTCTTTGTGCCTAGAATGTTCCCTGTTCCCACATGTCCAGAACTAACCACTCAATCTTCAAGGCCCCATTTCTCAAGAACTATCCCTGATACAACTTGCTGGAATTCAACTATCCCTCTTCTAAGCTCCCCAATCTTTTAAAAGGGGGAAAAGTTCTCCTATTGTACTCAGAACTTTCTAACTTGTGTTATAATTATTTATATATACACTCTCTCTATTATTTTCTTTCCAGAACAAAGATTTGCTTTGTTCATCTTGTTCCCACTGTGTGACCATCATGTCGGGCATGGATAGCACTATATAAATGTTAGTTCCCTTCTCTTCATTGTAGGCACACTTTTTTCCTGTACCTTCATTTTCTTTTCCCAGCATCAATGTTCCATTCCCTGCTGCTGAGTGAGAAAATGTTCATCTGTGTCTGCTCCAGTCAATTGTGTGATGAAACAACACTAACAAATTGTTGTAAAAATAATTTATCTAAAAACGGTTATTGCATTGCAGGCTTGAGGAATTAGTGAGGGAAGTTGTTAATGCTGTTTAGTGGTGGGTTGTCCTGGTTCATGTGATATTTCATGTAGAATATGGATTTCAAGTGGGAAGCCTATAAGGTTTGCATTCAGCAAGAAGGGACTCCATTTCCAAAAGAACTACCTGCCAATCTTGTGGTCCTATTTTTAGTATCTCCACTTCCCTTCAAACCTCTTGGGCAGACCAATTATTCATTAGTGAGAAAAAAGGTACTGAATGTGTTCTTATATGTAGATACACCCAACAAAAATTCTAGGTCGCTTTTGTGGCTCGAAGGTTAGTGTTTTGAGAATACATTACTATCAGGATGAGTAAGTTTTTATATTTAGCTGTCAGCTCCCCTCTCAAACTCTATCACTTGGATGAAATGCTCTCTGTCCAACAATGTTGTCTCTTTTCTGAGTTCTGGGAATATTTATATTTCTGCACCTTCTTTTAGCTTGTATCATACTGCTTTTTATTGATGGCTGTTTTTTTGTGCAAGTCTTTGTCTTCCAGGATAATTTTAATCGGTCCTTGGGTTTGGTCAATTTCAAATTTTACCTGTACCCAGAGAAAATTGTAATGGTTACACTCTGTTTAAAGGATGATGTATTCCAGAGCACCTACTAAAATACCTATCATATGTCTATAAATATCAAGTTACAATAAACACCTTGCCCTTCCTTTGTATCCTGCTTCTCTGGAGGAACAGTAGGGGAGAATAAACAAGTTTCAGTAGTTGGGCACCTAACTTTACAATTTTGCTCATTCAACCAACAAAAAATATAGAGGGATAGAATCCACATTGTTGGTTATTTACCTCTCTTTTCATGGATGTTTATCTTCATCTTTAGTTTTCAGGACCCTACAAGGCATGGACCTACTTTGTACAGCCTGTAATTCTAGCACAATGTCTTACACATAAAGGCACCAGTAAATGTGAGAAATGCTTGAATGATAAATACACTCTCTTGGAGTTTCTTTGTGGGGAACATGATTAAGAATAAAGTGCTAATAGCTCTCTCAAAGTCTTTCGTAAAGAAGTGGAGTATAAACAAACACAAATAAAAATAAGGTATGGTTATCACATTCTGGAAATGCTTCTGGGCTTCTGATGTGCAATAATGCTTGGATCAGAAAGACTGACTGAAGGGAACTATTGGGGACCAAGTAGGTGAGGTGTAATGCATTCTGTTTTTTGGGTGTTTAAACACAAGCTGTAAGGACAAAATGTTTCTAATTAAGATATCACCAATTTTTCCCTCTATTAATTCCATCTTTCTTCAAAGCTAATGGGTCTATATAATGACTCCACATCAAAGACACTTTTCTAATGGTTTAGGAGATATGAGTTTGATTAGAACAAAGCAGAATTCACAACCCACAACAGAGCAATTTGTTGAAGTTATTTTGGAGTTGATTTGTGAATCACTGTTCATGAAATGAGCTGGATCCTCATTATGTGTGCCATCCTCCTAAACCTCCTTCTCCAAGAAGCATTTCCGCTCTTTGTCCTTCCTCTCTCTGGATCCTTCCTCTCATACCCTTGTCACTTGCACTCTCTTCACATGGTGTTATAATTATCTATTTTCTTTTCTGCATCCTCCAGTTAGACAATAAGCTCCTTGAGAGCAGATAGTAAAGCTTGCTCAACTTAGTATAATCAGTTCCTGGTTTATGGTAGGCATTCAACAAAGACCTGTTAAAAGAATGAATAAAAATAATGTCTCACATTTATATAGTGGTTTAGGTTACAAAATACTTTCCTCTGTTATTTGACTCCCATGATACTGTGAGGCAAGCAGGAAATCCATTACCACCCCTATTTACAGATGTGAGAAGAGGTTCAGAAAGGCTTTGTAACCTGAGGGCAAAGAGGCTGCAACTTCGGGAGACACCGGAACTCCTGACTGTAGATTCCTGCTCTAGAGCCCTTTTCTGAACAACGGAGCTGTTTATTTCCTGAGCCAAGTGCCAAAGGCAAAGCGAACATTCCCCTAATCCTTTAAACCTTCTCCCTGTTCTGCATCCACACTTCACTCCGCTCTTGGATCCTTTCACTTCTGACTTAAACGTAGTTTTTATTTAGGAGCCATATATTTCCTACGTGCAGATGAAAGATGAAAAATATATACTCTTCTGTTGATTCTCCAGTTCCTCTGCCTGGGACCTCCTGGGTGAGGTATAGGATTATGTGGCATGAGATAGGGGTGATGTGTGTGTGTGTGTGGGGAAAGACATAGCTGAATGGTGAAGCCAGAGTATGCTGCTCAGAGGACTATCAGGGCAAAGGCCTGCGATGCTGAGGCCTTGGCCTTGAGTTCCCTCTGTTCCCCACCCCGCCATCTCCAACATTTTTCTCTAGAGAAAATCTGGATAAATTGAACTAGTAGAGTTGGGAGAAAGATGATGACAACAAGACTCCAGAAGATGTTGATTTAAGTATTAAAGAGTGTTTAGGGAAGGGGTGGAGTGATCAAGGTGAGGGTGGAAATTAGTTAGGACTTACTTGCTGACTTTAACTGTATTTGATAATTGTATGCAATTGGACTCAATTGTATTCAATTCTCCTTTCCACACAGCCCTGAGAGTGGAAGCTAAGGATAGGACAAAGGGGGGAATCTCTCAACTGGCCTTTATTTACTTTATTTATTTATTTTTTTTTGAGGAAGATTAGCCCTGAGCTAACACCTGCCGCCAATCCTCCTCTTTTTGCTGAGGAAGACTGGCCCTGACTTAACATCCATGCTGATCTTCCTATACCTTTTTATATGTGGGACACCTGCCACAGCATGGCTTGACAAGCGATGCGTACATAGGTCCACACCCGAGATCCGAACCAGTGAACCCCAGGCCGCCAAAGCAGAACGTGCAAACTTAACTGTTGCCTTTAAAATAAGCAGTCTTGGGGCAGCCCAGTGGTGCAGCAGTTAAGTGCACACGTTCTGCTTCGGTGAGAGGGGTTTCACTGGTTAGGATCCCGGGTGTGGACATGGCACCGCTTGGTACACCATGCTGTGGTAGGCGTCCCACGTATAAAGTAGAGGAAGATGGGCACAGATGTTAGCTCAGGGCCAGGCTTCCTCAGCAAAAAGAGGAGGATCGGCAGCAGATGTTAGCTCAGGGCTAATCTCCCACCCCCAAAATAAAATAAGCAGTCTTTTTCTTGTTTTTCTTGAAAGAGAATGGGCAAAAGCAGTACAGTTTTACAAATCCAAGAGAAATGGAACGTCATGGAATGCTTGTGAGTGGCACAAATGCCTGCATCAGCAGCAAGTTAAAATGAGAATGACAAGGGAGATTGTTAGCCTTGTCTCAGCTTCACACCCAATACCAGATCATAAAGCACTAGTAACAATGACGTCACTCCATACCTACCCGCTCCTTCACATCCAGTTTACCAGAAATAGATACACATTTTATATGTATAAACTTACGTTACACACATAATAGGACTACCATTTAATGAGTAATTAATATGTGTCAGGAGCTTTATATATATTTTACTCTTCACAGGAACCCTGTGATAATAAGAACAACATTTTAAGTTAACAGATAAGGAACTGAGGTCCAGAGAGGTCAAATAACTTGCCCATGGTCATACACCTGGTAAGTGGGATTCTGGAATTCTCACCTATGTCTGACACTGAAAACAAGCGAGTCAAATAACTCTTGGGCTAAACTGCCTCACAAATATCCAATTTGACCACGGGCAAGCACTCCCTTTTCTGCCTATACCATAATTTTTTACATTAGTGACACAGACATCGCTTCTTTGTTGAGTATCCCTCTTATGTCCCCAATTAGATAGTGAACTTCTGGAGGGCAGAGACCGGCTCCATATCCTCAGTTAGTGACACATAATTGGTGCTCAGTAGAATATTTTCAACGAAGGACACCAGGAAGGTGGCTAGAAATACAGGAGTCTAGGAGCAAGAACAGATGCAGAAAGAAGACGGAAAGGACTATTCATTCAACAATTCAACGAGCACCTGCACCGGTATTAGGTGCTGGGGATACAGTGATGACCAAGCCAGTCAGGGTCCCTCCCCTCATGGGACTTCATTGCAGGGGTCGGGGTCATGATCAAGGATGTGTCACCCAAAGGACAATTTACCTCCGCGTTCCTCGGCGGAAAAGAAAACCGAGGAGTGGCAGCCCCCAGCATCTGCAGGGTTCTGGCAGTCCTGCAGCGCAAAGACATGAATAATAAGATGGAAGTAGGTCAAGTGAAACGCTTTCATGAGACTGAAATCAACCGGCCAGAGGTCTTGGCCGGGCGGGACGGGAGATAAAGAGCGCAGAGCGCGGGGCGCGCGGCCGAGATAAAGGGGTGGGGCCGCCCCGCCCCTGCCGTCAGCTTCCACGCGTCGCCGCGTCCCGCAGCACTAGGACGCCGGGCGGTCTTCCCCGCTCACCACGAGGATACCGGGGGGCGCTGGCAGGCCCCCCCACTCCTCACCGCCCTTTGTGAAACGCCCCCAATTGTGTCTCATAGGCAGAGGCCGGTCTCCGCGGGCGGACAGGGCTGTCCGGACTCTGCGAGGGCTGAAAGGTGAGGGCTGCGCGGGGACGGGGTGTCCCCAGAACCTAGGCTCCCGTCTCCCATTGAATCCCTTTCCCTCTTTCCCTCTGCCCACAACCTCGCCCCGGCGCTCCACCCTCAGCCCCTCTCGCCTCCCGCGCGGGGCTTGGGGGGCGGGGTGAGGGTTCCAGACTGCGCGAGAGTTCCGCCCAAATCCCGCGATACTCGCCTGCCGCCGCTGCCACCGCCTCTTACGTCGTTCCCTTTGACAAGTCGCCGCTGCTGCAGCAAAAATAAAGGACGCGGCCGCCGCAGCCGCTGCCGAGCCGGCTTCGGGTCGCTGGAGCCGCGTCCTAACCCTGCCAGCTCCGGAGCAGCGTACGGTAACCCCTCATCTTCTGCCCTCCTGGCCGCCTGTGCCGCGCCGGCGGGCAGGGCCGGCTGGGACCGTTCCCGGGCCGCTGTCGAGCGGGGCCGCCGGGGTCCCGGGTGGGCGGCGGGCGAGGCCTGTGGGAGCCCTCGGCGCGGTGCGGCCCTCCAGCCCCGGAGGCCTCCCGCTGCCCGAGCGCCTTCAGAGCCGCGTTCGAAGCCGAGCCGCTCGCCCCAGAGGGCGGAAGGACCCGCCCCTCCCGCCGCTCGCCGCACATGTCTCTCGGCCCTCCGGGTCGGGTCTCGGACCTTCTCCCCCACCCCTTTTTCGCTAACGAGCGCCGCTGTCCTGGCCGGGGTCGGGCTGGGGGTGCGGCTGCCCGACTCTTTCGGGATCCGAGAGAGCCGTGACCCCGGTGCCCCCTGTTGCCGTCTGCCTTCTGAGGGGTGGAGGTTGGGACGAGGTGTCTTTCTCCTTTCCTCTGCCTTGGGCAGCTCATCATCTAGTAAACCTTTCTCCAAATCTCCCACTTCGATAAAATAATTTATAAAGCCTCTGCTACCTGGAGGGGAGACGAGATGCATTGTTTAGCCTGTGGGATGAGATGAGGATGATGATGACAGGGAGCTGTCCCAGGGAAAATGATGAAACCTTTTCTGTGATGGGTGGCAGGTTCACGGGAGACACGGGGAGGACCGGAGCTAGTACCACCTCTCTCTGGAGGTTATATAAAAGACATGCTCTCCATCCTAAATTGCTGTGAAACACGGGGACAGAATTTGCCTTAATTTTAAAATATTGTCTATAATACAGTAGAAAATATGGATAATCAGAATAATAGGAATACCGAATCTGAACAAACTAACTCATCCTTGTAATTCAATTTCTAGAGATAGCATGTCATGGTTAACATTTTAGTGTATTTCCTAACGCTTAATTTTTTCAAGTAGTATTTGGCTCATTGTTGATTGGGACTTCCCCATTCTATATATGTTCCAAAAATGATTTGTTTTATTTGAGTCACTTCTTTGGCCTGCTTGATTAAAACTGGTTACTTGTTCGTTATCACTGGCTGTACTCTGTCATTGCTATCTATTTCATTGGGCCTTTTTCCAAAATGATTGTTAGCTAAATGGTTTTAACAATCAAACATTAAAAAATTACTTTCTGCTTGGATCCAGTACATATGTGTTTTTAGAATTCTGCCTGTGGTGGGTACTGAAAAGAAGCAGTACTTGTGGAAAACAGATAAGCTTTGTTTATTCATAGAAGAAACCTGGTTACCTTAAAGGTTTTATAAAATTAATTTCCATTGGTTATTTTTAGGTCAAAATCGTTATTTGATGTTGTTAGTGCTTTTTTGATTGGGATAGGGTGGATATGTGCCTTTGCTTGTCTGGGTTTCTATAGTGTGTGTTTATACAAGCAAAACTGAGTGTCTTAGGTGCCTGTGTGCATATATGTGCATATATATATACATGCATGTGTATTATGCACCTGTACACGTTTGCGTATCTTGGGAGTGAGTTAAAATGTATTGTTCTATTATTTGAGAAAATAGATCATTAGGTAGGGCAAAGGATAGTCTTGTAATATTTCCCCCGAATCACATGACAGAATTATATGGCAGAATGAGACATCTAGGGAGGTTGGAAATCTGGAGGCTTTTAAAAATAGGATAGATTGTCATCTGTCTGGAGTTGTCATCAGAATGGATTAAATGGTCTATTAAGGCCTCTTGTAATTCTAAACTTTTATGAATTTTGCTTTCCCTAAGGTTCTTATCGCTTTGCTTCTTAAATTTCTAGTCATGCTGTTTACATGTGACACTTACCCATTCATTTGCTGGTCATGTATTCCACTCTCAATGCACGCATCTTGGTGGTGGATAAAGGAGAAAGCAAATGTAAACTTGGCACTTAGTCTGCTTATTAATATAAACATCTCCTGAAAATCCTGTTTGATTAAAGGAATTTTGAAGACTGTATTGTTGATTGGGGCTAGGTTGGTTATTAGAGGATGCAAATAATAAATAGCAATACAGTTCTGATGTCCTAAGTGTTCCCTGCCCTCCCCAAATACTAAATTACTCCATCTTGATGTTTGAAATAAAAAAAAGGACTGGATACATTGAACAGCTGATCTTTTAAAATTTAGACTTTCAGAACTTAAAATAATAATAATGAGAACTTTATGGTTTGGAGTGTGGAGAGAAATTTGTGTTAGGATAAAAGCAAATTGACTTGTGAAAGAGAACTTGAATTTTATTTTATTATTATTATTTTTTTTGAGGAAGATTAGCCCTGAGCTAACATCTGCTGCCAATCCTCCTCTTTTTGCTGAGGAAGACTGGCCCTGAGCTAACATCCGTGCCCATCTTCCTCCACTTTATATGTGGGGCGCCTACAGCAGCATGGCTTGCCAAGCAGTGCCGTGTCTGCACCCGGGATCTGAACCGATGAACCCCGGGCCGCCAAGGTGGAACATGTGAACTTAACTGCTGCGCCACCAGGCTGGCCCCAGAACTTGAATTTTGTAGTTGGACAACTTTGCGGTAATACGTAACAAACTTCCTATAATCTATTGAGGATAAAATTTTAATGTAAATAAACTTTGGCTTACCAGACAAATGAAATGCCTTGTATGGGCACATACTGCAGATTATCATGATGTTGAAAACATAAAACATTGATCACTTATTTAGAAAGAAGTTTGCAAAGTCAGTAAAGTCACAATACCTAGCAAATGTTTTTAACTAAAAAAAATATAAGGGAACATAGTGTAGATAATTTACTTTTTAGATGCCAGATCTGATTTTTATGATTTTAGTTTGTTCTGCTGTTACTTATTGGGCCCTCTAAATTAATGGGAATATTAAATTCCAGATGAGATCCCTGAGCAAGGAAATACGACAATTGTATAAGATGATCGATTAATGGATTTTATTTATTTATTTTGAAATAATGTTAAATTTACGGAAATGTTGCAAAGATAGTACAGAGAATTCCTGTATACTCTTCACACAGCATCCCCTAATGTTCGTGATTTATATAATCATAGCACAGTGATCAAAACTGGGAAATTGGTGTAATGCTGTTAACTAAACTACAGACTTCATTTGAATTTCATCACATTTTCCCCAATGCCTTTTTTTTCTGTTCCAGGATCCCACATTGCATTTAGTTGTTGTATCTTCTTAGTCTCCTCCAATCTGTGACAGTTCCTCAGTTTTTCCTTGTTTTTCGTGACCTTGACACTTTTGATGAGTACTGGTCAGTTACTTTGTAAAATTTTTCTCATTTTGGGTTTGTCTAATGTTTTTCTCATGATTAGATTGAGGTTAAGTATACTTGCAAGAAAACCACAAAAAGTGACGTGTCCTTCTCAGTGTATCATATTAGAGGGTACATGGCGTTGTTATATCTTATTGCTAGTAATATTTTAATCTTGATTGCTTTGTTAAGGTAGTCTCTGCTGTATTGTCCCCTGTCAAGTTACTATTCTTCCTTTTGTAATTGATACATATCTTGGGGGAATGCTTTAAGACTATGCAGATATACTGTTTCTCCTCAAACTTTCTCTCACTGATCCATTGGTGGATCTTTTCTGCAACAGTTATTACTGTGGTATTTACCTCATGGTGATTTTGTATTCCCCTCATTCCTTTTACATTTATTATTGGAATTCTTCTGTAAGGAAAAGATGTCCCTTCCTCATTTATTTATTCAATCAATCATTATTTATATAAATATGATCTCATGGGTATTTATTTTATTCTATGGGTTATAATCCAATAGTATCGTTATTTTGTTGCTTAAATTGTTTCAACTTTGGCCATTAGGAGCTCTTTCAGATTGGCCTCCACCCTTTTTTGGGCACTTCCTTATATTCTGGCACCACAGGCTGTTCCATGCTCATCTTGTATCTTTCCTTGTGCCAGTCCTGGAATCAACTGCTTCTCTGAGCTCTGGTTCCTTTTATTGGAGAAAATAATTTAAATCAAGATCTGGGTGCTAGGTGTGCTCATTGGGATGTCATTGCTCCTAGGCCCTCAGAGAACAGTGCTAGGAAATATATGTGTATATGCTAACCCACGCATGCAAGCAGGCATGCGTGCACACACTCACACACATCTATTTCTATGTATGTTAAAAACCGTGAGCTCATATTGATATCTTCTATTCCAGTCCAACACTACAAGGTTCATTCCAACCTTTCCCCTTTTTTTATTTGTACCTTTTTTTCTGACAGAGGGAAACCTGGCTCTCATTATCTGTAGTATACTAATTTATTCACTTTTAGAAGGCATATCAGGTAGAACCTGATTGCTAATCATACCCTTATGAGAAACGTATTTGCTCATTAGAGTGCAGTATTTGTGTCCCTTTTTTTTTTGTCTTTAACCTTACAGTATCTAGTCAAAATACTGTTTTCCAAAGTTACTTAGGTTAGTTCTTTTCTTCCTCACTCCCGTTAGTGTGGTTATGTTATTCATTTGTAATGTAGTTAGGTTCTTTTCTTACTCTTTGTATTCCATTTTGGGTTCCTCCAATCTTGGTTGATTTTAATTATTTGTTTACTTATTTACTTTGGTATGTGAAACATTACTATTACTAAACATTACTACATAAAAAGATATACTCAGAGAAGTGTCACTCCTTATTCCTATTACCCAACTCGCATCCCCCCCAGTTTCCTCCACCTGTTTTCCATGCCGTGTTGGTAACCAGTCTCTTCCATTTCTGGTTTATCCTTCCATTATTACACAAATGAACAGATTGTGTATATTCCTTTCTTTTTTTTTTCCTGGTTGTTTTTAATTGAGATACAGTTCATGTACCACAAAACTCACGCTTTTGAAGTGTACAGTTGAGTAGTTTTTAGTATATTCACAAGGTTGTACAACCATCACTGCTATCTAATTCAGGAACATTTTTCATCACCCCAAAAAGAAACCCTGTATGCATTGGCAATGACTCCTCATTCCTCCTTCCCCAGTCTCTGGTAACCAGTAATCTACTTTGTATTTGTATGAAATTTCCTTTTCTGGACTTTTCATGTAAATAGAAGCATATAATATGTGGACTTTTGTGCCTGGCTTCTTTCACTTAGCATAATTTTTTCAAGGTTCATCCATGTAGTGGCATGTATCAGTACTTCATTCCTTTTTATGGCTGAATGGTATTCCATTATATGATTATAGTGTCATATGTCATATAACGATGGGCATATGTTCTGAAAAATGCATCATTAGGTGATTTCATCCTTACAAGAACA